CTTTCCAAGCGACAGTGAAAGCAATGAAGATTTTGTAAACCTTTTTTTTGATTTACGGTATTTTCTTATTTTGATGTTATAAGCTCTTTTGTGTTTAGAACAATATATACTAATTTTTAAAGTATCAAACTGAATTTTTGTTCAATAAAAATCTTTCAAATGCGACTGTAGCTTTTTTCCCCAAAACTTTGTCTTCAAAATAAGGGTGTGTCTTTTACACCGGTGCGTCTTATATTCCGAAAAATACGGTACTTCTTTAAATGTAGGACCTGATTTCAATTACTATTTTCACTACTGTTACTTTGTAGACACAAACATTTTTGCACAAGTAAACAAATGCCCTTTACTAGTAAGTTATAACAAAACTTAAGCAACTAAATTGGGACTAGACTAGATGATATAGAGTCCTCGTGTTTATATTTTTGAAACTTGACCATAAAACTGTTTGTTTGTTTGGGTTATCTGCTGTGTTCACTGCAGGAAAACAAACCCATAAATTTAGTGTTATAAATCTGTAAACTTTCCGCTGTCCCACTGGCAGACTCAAAACTGCAACAGTATATACTATTTTCAAGATGAAACTGGCTAATTTCTTGTTCAAAATGATCATTTTAATACTGTACTGCAAAGTTATTTGCATCATAAAGTTTAAATTTTCTATCAGTGTGCCTAAATATTTTATTAAAGTTAACATTTTCCTTACCTGAAAATGTACTTCCAATAAATGCTCATCTCTGCATACAGAATAGCTTCATCCCTTACACACCTGTCTGACATTTATACCACTATCCTTGAGCTAACTCCCACCTATAAAGCACTCTTTTAATGTGAACTGCACTAGCGCATGATGACAATATCAAGCAACTTTAGTCTTCCATCAATAGGAGAGCAACACAACCTCTTTGAGCACTAACTCCTCCTAAGCACTTGTGCTCAAAATAACTTCATTCTCAAACAAGGGAAGAAGAAAATGCACCAGAAGGGGGGGAGGACAGACAGGAAGATGTGCAGAGAAATCTATTATCTACCAGAAATATATTTTCAGATAAGGAAAATGTTTACTTCCTAGAAGATACTAAGAACAGCCAGAGGCAAAGGATGAAGAACCTAGAACCAGAAGAGGAGAAGCTTAAAGTTGAAAGGAGTGGCAAAGGCATTTATGAGGGGTGTGCCTAATAGAGAGCAGACCACATAAAAAATCTGGGGTGAAGAGACAACTCCATGAGCAGCATGCATTCTGGCCAAAACAGGAAGTCCACCACAAGGTTCATAGATCCCAGTATATGATGAGTGACAAGATTAACTCAATGGGAATGAGACTAGAAGAGAAGGTCTAATGTCCAAGAGCAAAGTCCTGGAATGGGTGCCCCTTGACAATTGATGTTAAAAACAAAATTGGAATTGTCATGACCAAATCGTCTACCAGAAGAGGTATAAAATGGGAACATGCCTGATGAACAGTAAGAAGTTTGAGCATGTTGAAGAGTGAACTCTCTTCCTGTGTCCAAATGCCAGAATTCATTTCATCATTCGGAGATTAACCCTAACCAAAAAGGAAAGTTCCTGTGAAGAGATAGAGATTTGGTCTAGGGGTGGTAAAGATAGCTGGATGTGGTATTGGGAAAGGTGAGAAACTAGGTAAAATAAAGAGGACTGGTGGCAGAAAGTCTTGGCATGTATCTCCAGCTAATTAGGAACACCACCAAAGATGTCAGGGTGAAGAAAAGGAGTTCAACAAATATCACACAGATAAGAAGTTGGTAGGCATATGTCAGTAAGAAGTGCATCCCGACCCAACAATTCTCAACAACAGAGGGACCAGAGCAGAAGAAGTGGTACTGGTCATCATGGTAAAATGAAGGGAACAATCCTTCCTGGAAACCCTTCTGGAGCATGACAAAGGTCCTCAGACATAAGGTGTAGGGAAGAGGGGTAATGTAGGAAGGTAGTGAGAAAAAGACAATGCCATGAAAACTGGGCACTAGAGAACAAAACAGAAGACAAGGGATCTGCTTTCCAAGCAGGTAATAAACATTTCAAAGACTGAAAATCAAGAAAGGGAAAGTAAGAATAGCTGTAAGCTAGGATATGAGATTCAAGAAGGCGAGGAAGATGAGGTACATGGGTACAGATGTGAAGTAGGTTCAAGAAAGGAATCAGCTTAAACCCATATATCGGGTGAGAGAGGAAATATTAAAGAATTGAAGTAAAGAATTGGATGAATCGTAAGACACAGATGAAAGAGAATGAAAGTAACATACCTGAGAAATCTAGTCACGAAACAGTGTGGAAGGTTGAAGAATGTCCTCGACTGGTAGGGAGATACCCAAAGAAAATTCAGGTGGAGGGAACAGTCGATCAAATGCCTCTTCTTCTTGGTCATTGTCAAACTCAGAGGAAACACAAATAGAAGTTTCTAGCATGCATGATAGATCTCACAACACACTGTACAATGGCTGTAACATCCTCAGCAGTCAATGGCCTCTTAAAGCTACAGTAGAGATAGTAACTGTGTGTGTGTGTGTAACATAGTCACCCACATTGGACAAAGTCATTGGCACTTGACAATTCATGATAAGAAAAAAAGCTTTGAAACAAAAACCAAAGTAAACATATGCAAGTCTCATCAAACTGAACTTAGATGAAAATTTTTTTAACATGTCTGTTCAATGCAATACCAAGGAAAAGAATGAAGTTTTCTTGAGTACAAGTGCATAGGGTAAGTTAATGTGCATAGAGGTTGTGTCACCCTCCTATTGGTGGAGAGCTATTACCACATGATAATGTAATCATGCACCAGCACAGCTCACATTACACACAATAATTTAGGTGGGAGTTAGTCCAAGGCCAGTGGCATGCAAATCTCATAGGCAGATGCACAAGGGAAATAGCAATTCTACTCTCTCAAAATGATATCTATTGACCAGCCCTTCAAGAGGCATTGATCTGGAAGATGTTTTAATGACCACAAGTAAATTATTTTAAAGCTGTAACATTATGATTTATCTGCCATTCGGGCAGATCTGTTGTTTCCCAAGTTTTCCCATGACAGTGTTTCATTCTGCTTTTGATAATACCAATATCATCAGTGCTTGTGTATTTTTCAGACCTAAAGTAACATGAAACTGTTTCAATATTATAAAACTGTATGCTACTTGATCTATAATTTTTTTTAATTAAACTGGATGCACCATCTGAATGACTAATTCAAGTTCTAACACCATGACATAGTAATAACTTTAGAAGTTGGATGAACTTGGTAACTTACAGAAGACAGCAACTATTGATCAAAATAGGGGTGTAGAATAAATTAAAAATTTCCATTTGTGTGTGTGTGTGAAGCAAATGACAAATTTGAACTGGTAACTTACTAGTTTACACCTCTCCAAATTGAGCCCTATCATAATAATATTTTTTGTTTCAGATTATAACATCAGTTTGAAGTACTGGTTACAATCACCTTGTCTTATAAAGTATGTGTAATTTAATCATTCTGTTCCAACTTACCCTCAAGACAGCGACCTTTAAAAAGGACTTTTTGCTGGAGACGAAATTTCTCCATTGGTTCAAGGGAAGAAAAGTTTATCTCTCGTGAGACAGCTCGGCATTTTAAAATCTTCTTTGGTACTCGAGCTGCAAAAAATTATATTCTTCACTGTCTTTACTCAATAAATACCATGTAAAACATTGTTATCAAAGTTCATTATTTTTTGATTAAATTTTTCATTAAATGTAAGAATGTATGTTGTTTTTGAATATTCAAATCATTGTATGTGGAATCTGGACTTTCAAATTATAAAAATTATAATGTCATACATGTACAAACTTCTTAAGGATTACAATGCTGGGTAGCATCCCACCTTGAGTATTTAACAGCTTATAGAAATTACTTAAATAACTGAGATAAGAATAATTATGTTCTTAAATTTCAATGGAAATCTCAAAAATCTAAAATAATAAGAATTGGTGACAGTTTCAGTAATTCACCATAATGATGCTTATGTTTAAGCTGAAGATACCCAAGGCTGTACTTAAAATTAATTTCTATAAAAAAATTTTAAAGCAATAATTATAGTGCAATAAATGTATGGGTGAGTGATAGAAGAATAATACATATCTAGAGCTAATTAGTATAGGTGTATAAAAACACAATGAACACACTTCTGAAAAAAAAACAAGTGGCACTGCAAGGTAACCTTGTGATGTGATTAGGAACTAGTTAAAAGTGTGAGATTGACATTAGAGCTCATTCATTCATCCACTGATTAGTATGATTGTGAAAATTACCTAATGTTAACACTTAATTAAAAAATAACTTTCTAGTTGATGAAGATATTATTCATGCTGTTACTTGTTTTAAGATGAAATGAAAATTTAGGTTATTTCCAGGACAACTTGTAACACCAGTTATGGCTATTTGTTTTTGTATATACTTTTATATACCTGTAATAATGGAAAAGTTATGTGGTTCTCCCACCACTTAAATTATGCATTTATATTTAAACTTGTTTTGTGCTAGCTCTATATTGACAACTGATATTCTTCTAGCATTTATACATGATTTGGAACTAAAATAGGAAGCAAAACGCTGTTTTAAACAATAAATATAAAGAATTCTCATTCACTTATTTAAAATATTTAAATAAATATAAAAAAGTTGCTTCAGACTACACTCTGAATTTATTAAGCCTCAAAATCATACTTCTCAGGCTCCCAACCACCTTGTATAAACCACATTCACTTTAAAATTATCTCCTATTCAAATATAAGTATAATGATATAGATAATGTTCGTAGTTGCTTACAGTGCCATACACTTACCTTCATGCTCAATATCTGGTTTTGATCTGGAAGAAAAAAATTAAATACATCTTTCTCACACAATACTCATTACACAAAGCTACCCAAAAATATTTATTTATCAAAGTTCATTTTACTGGAATGAAAAACCTTGTTGATACATAATAGGTACCTACTAAATAATTTAAGCATTTACAATATTTTCACCAGAGTATTTTGACAGAATCAGTGAAGAACTATCAAAATTGTAATTATTTGTTACTACAGAAATAAAAAAAAAGTTTTATCAACAATTTACATGAGATTAAAAGATAGTTAAATTCACCCTATCAATATAAATGATACATAAATTCAATTTGAGTTTATTATGTAATTAATATATATAAGAACTGTTTTAATAAGTTTCTGGTTAGCTGGAATATAAAAATTAACTAGGATAAAAGTAAGGTTCTCATTTTCAAAAAAAGTAAAGGAGTTAAAAAAGAATGAAAAAACTATCTTCAAAAAACCTCAAACTTGCACATAGTGATGGTATGTATGACAGTTATATGCATCTTTGTCATGAAGACTGTGATGACATTCACATCTATATTATACATGCAAAATTAGAAATGTCTTAAAATCTTAATAATGTTTCACTAAGAGGACTTTCTATGGTTATTATTGGTGAAAATGGAACAGAAATATGGGAAACACAAAATGAACATACAGCCAATGCTACATGTTACATACAGTTATGTGGAAAAACTTTTATTTATGCATACTTATCTTTGTTAAATTCTAGTAACAGTTATAATTAATATTTTTATTGGGAAAATGTAAGTCAGATTAACTGCCCATGGTATTTGAACTTAAAAATGCACAACCTTTGAATAGTATAAGAATTTTTTACAGCAACATATAAAATATACATTTGAAATAATTAGCATAAATAGCTTACAAATCTTCAGTTCCCTGCCATAAGACCCTTCCATTATCTGCATCTCTAAGGTTAATCCAGTTTCTGATGAAATTAGTTAACTTTCATTGTGGTAGAAATGAGTTATGATACACAAAAACAAACTTTTCCAAATACCTATGGTCATAACTTTTGATGGTGTTGACTTTAACACAACAAATTTGTCATATTTTCAATGTCATTCGGAGTACACAACAATTTAAAATGTATTTCATTTCTTTATCATTGACCTATCAGTTTTTTATCTAATGAGAATTAATACAATGTCAGCACCTTCTACTTAATTATACAGAATATAATGAGGGGGAGGAGTATTGTTGTAAGCTATATTTTCAATGTTATAATTTAGTTGTTTACTAGAATATTTAGTTGTTTATTGTAATAATGACGTTAGATATAGAAGTTGAAAAAAGTAGTCCTATAATACAGAAACTTCCTGTACTTGATAAAAGTGAGAGTTCAGTATAAATACACGAATCAATGATTGAGTAGTTGAGGAAAGACTGGTTGAATTGTTAATCAAGACAGGTTATTCATATCACTGAGAATTAGTGCTTTTATCAGCTAATCAGTAAGTTAGTCAGGTTTGTTATTAGTCAAGGAAATTTCTGTTAAACATCATTAGTCCTATAGTAGTTTTGGAATTTCTTTTGGAAAGTTTGTGTATTTCAAATTAAGCCTGCAAGTAAATATAGCCTGCAGAAACATTACAGAAGAAATAAATTAATTCATTATTGTTATGTGGAGTGTCCTGGATATAATTTTATCAAAGACTCCAAAGAACCTATCGAATGATAGAACATGTTACAGCAGTATTATCTGGTACATGTAAAATGTGGTAAATTCACAGCATATGCAGGTAAAATTAAAAAAATTTTTTACCGAAATTGTATTTAAGATAGATACTGTACAACAAATTGCTATTACTCCACTGCCATGAAAATTTTGATTCACATCACTTGCCTTGAATGAAACTCCCACTTGTACACATAGTAATGTTTATTGCACCAGACTATGATGCAATCATCATTAGACTATAACCTTCTACTAACAGAAGGGTAACCCATCCTCCATGTGCAGTAATCCCCATAAGTACTAGCATTTGAACAAAGGCTCATTCTTTATCAGGAAAAAATAAATACACCAGAAGTGGGGAGGAAGGGTTGTAAGTTGTGCAGAGGGTTGGGAAACTATCTGAAATACATTTTCAAGCATGTTAAATTTAACTTAAGGAATATCTACTCATTTCTCTACACAACCAAGAGATAGAATAACACATTGATTTGATGTTTGATGGCTCACTGTAGATAAAGAAAATATAAATAGGATCTTCTGAAAACAAAGCATCAGAAAGGTAAAACCCATGGAGTATGTCACCTACTAAAGAAGAAGAGGTAGCCTAGTGGAGCATTACTTGGTGAAAGACCACATCCATCTAAAACAAGAATTACTCTTTGTTCAGCAGAGGTGATATAGCAAAAGATATTGTTAAAAGAACCCTTTGCATGGTGGTAAAATGTCATGTAAGTGGGTAGAATGTAAGGTTGTTTAATTATCTCACAGGTGGTCAGCTGAACATGGGTGGCTAGGTTATAACTCTGGCCATTCTGTATTGGGATAATACTTATGTGTGATATCTACCAGAATAATCAGGAGAAGGAAGAAAATATTCCAGACTTGCATCCTAAGGAGAACATAAGATCTATCTGGCTGTTCTAACCACTGGGTATAGCTTGGTTCACGGTGTAGTGGTATGGCCTGCACTATACTTCCAGGTAAAACATCAGACCCACTTCCCATCGAGGGGTGCATCTATTCGGTATCATACTGGTGGGAATACATTGACCCAATGGGGAACTCTCCAATATTGACCTCATCAGTGGCTTGGAATTGGGGAAGCAAGGATTCTTCCTTAGTCTCACTACAAGAGAATAGGAGGAAGTAATTTTCATGTGGGTGAATACCAGAGAGTTGCTCAGATTGAATGGGAAAGATCACATCTGCATCAAATCTCACACTGATGTACTATGCAATGAGTTACCATGAGTATAAGTAACAGGCACCAGCTGGGTATGAGTGCAGGCACATGCTTGATGCTGTCATTTTTTATTTCTAGTGATGGACTAAGCAGGGGCAGATAGTCTTAACATTTTCTGTAGTCTCATGCTCGATGCAGATTTTAGGAATGAGAAGTATTCCCTGTGAGGCATCACTGGTCACCTGATGGGTTCCATCGTCTCAAGTACATTATATATATATATATATACATACACACTGATATACAGGGTGTTCTTTAACCATACCCCACAGCCAAAAGCCAAAAAGCACATGGTTTTAAATCTGGTGAATGGGCAGGCCATCTCAGAGGACCACCTATGACAATTCATCTCCTGAGAAAAATCCTGTCCAAATAGTCAAAAATAGAAAATCCCATATAAGTGTAAACATTTTTTTTAATCACCCTGTATAATAATGGGTAATTATAGGGTGTAGAAAGAAGTCAATAACAAAAATAATTAACACTCACTTTACTAAAGTTTCTGAAAAGACTGGAGAATGATGACTGGAGGGAGACAAAACCCAGATGCAAATGAAAATGTAATATAGATAATGGGGCAAATTTGTTAAGGGATGTCCATAGCTTTGTCAATCAGATTTCATCTAGTGAGAGGCAAGAGAAGCCATAAGATGATGATAAAATTGACGAATGTCCTCTCCCATAGAAGAATAAGTAAATTGGATAAACTAATGAACCCAACAAGTCAAAGTGGAAGGTGATAAGTTACAAGAAGAAGAGGAATCTGAAGGCAAAAGATGACAATGGCAATTGCCATGCATGGGAGCAATACATGTGAGAAAACACTAAACTGTCTGAACGTGAATAAGAAAGCAATTGAGGTCAGAATAATCATATAGAGAAGAAATAGAAGGGAGAGTGATTGTGGAAACATCTGATCACCTTCCCAGTCAGCCCAAGTCTTGGACAGAAAGGAATGGTCCAGAAAAAAAAATCAATGTATCTCTGTGATGAAGAGTGCATGGAACACCTAAGGCAGAAAGATCAGAATGACATCTTCTGGAAGCAAGAATAAAATATATGTTGAAAAAAGAAGATACATAGAACAAGTGGCCAAATGTTTAAACAGGGAAAATATAAGAGCCTGGAGAATGAAACAGGGGTTTCAGTCCAGAACAGGAACTGGATGAAGAGGGCGAGTAATAAGAACTCAGAAGAGGTCCATAAAAACTGGAGCAAGAAAAGGAGAATAACTGGTGAAGAGATAGAAGGTCACTGACAAAGCTGGCATTTAACTAGTAATTGTAGAAATGGATTAACCTCTCTGAAAAGTTCAGGTTAAAAGAAAGAGATTGATTCTATTCTGGCTCATAGCATTTACTGCCAGAGTTGAAGAGTCTGGAGCTTGTGACTAGAAATGAAGAGCTTGATGTTGAGGGGAGTTGCAAATGCATCCATGGGAGGACTCCCTAGGTGGGAACAACTCCACTGGAACATCAGAGGATGGAGAGACCACATACTCCATGTGAAAAACTCAGTTCAATTGAGAGGGTCTACCTGTCACCAATTTCAAAGCTCCCAGGACATGCCAAGCCCACAACTGAATGTGGTGGCTATGTATTTAACAAAGAAATTCCAAAGCCAGACAACAGAGGTCCTGAGATTGAGTGCCTCCCTGTCAGTTGTTGTAAGACACAACAGAGGAGTTACCTGAATGGATTATCTCAAGATGACCAGACAGATGAGACTAAAGATGACAGCACACTCAATCTACAACCAACAGTTCTGGGACACTGAAATGAAGGGTCCACTTTCCTTAAGACTATACCCCCAAAAAAGAGTAATATTCTCACCAAGAAAATGAGGCATCAGCGAACAGATGCAGGTCAGGGTGAGGTGGGGGAAGAGGGATGCCCACAGTCATATGGGATTAATTGAGCAATCACAACAGCAAGAGGTGAAGAGATGGAGGGAGAGATACAAAAGATGACAGAGAATCTCTGGATATATTTCATTGATCTGCCAAGTTCTATTGAAATGGATACATATGGTTGTGTCCAAGAAGAATGAGGGAGTCAAGTGAAGCCAAAGTCCTCAAAAGAGGAGAGATATAGGCTCTCACACAGAAAAAGAAGGTGACACAAGTGCTTTCATAACCATAAGCTCCATGTCTCAAGATGTAAAGAAGATAGCGGAGCCAACCATGAAAAACCAGTTGAAAAACTCCCGAGTGAATCAGGTACTGAGTGAAGGTCAAGACAGACTTGAAGAATTTGATTAGACAACCCAAATGAAACACCTCCTGAAGGAGAAGGGAGGTCACAGCCAAGAATGCTTCTTAAGACAGAGCATGAAGGAGCTATTAATCTATATAGTAGTGCAAACAGAGACCTATGAATGTGTCCTCCTTGCAAATGTACTCATTACTTGATTGAAAATCTATGGGGCCATAGCTAACCTTAAGGTAAGAGCCTGGAGCTAAAAAATCAGACCATCATGGATGAATTGGAGAAAATGATGGGTGAACAGATAAATAAAGATGTGGATAAAAGCATTCAAAACATTGGCTTGCATCATCCATTTCTAAGGAAAGAACACCTACCTCAGGTTGAGAACATGGGCCAACTTGAACCAAGAAATAATAAAAAATTACTTCAAGAATGAGAGATCTATGATAATGTGCCAATCTCTCACTTTCTTGGATATAACAAAAAAGAAGTGAGTAAAACCCCAATAAAGATTGAGGACCTGTTCCACAGAATTTATAACCTGTAGAGAAGATACATTCTTTGCTATATGCCAAAGATGCAGGAGATCTGGAGAAGAAGAAAAAAGAGGTTAAGTATGAAAACACAAAAAAAGTCCATGGGAAAGCACTTGATTCATCCAAATATTGTCAACAAATGAAGACCACAAGTGCAACAAAATGAAGAGCTGAACTCCCACCTGATGAGAGCCAAGGGGTGACTCCAAAAGTGAGTCACTTTTGTGATCTGCACTGGCCAGCCTCCCTAAGAGGGGGACATTGAAAAGGAGCAAGACAACAAGGAACAGGAGGGGGGAAAACCCGACAAAACTCCCAAGGATGAGAAACCTGTTGGGACCCTGTGAGCTGAGAAAATTGGCAAATTAAAGTAATCAGAGAAAACTTTTGATGAGCAGCTTCAGATCAAGTTTCCACAATGTAAGGAACATCTTGTCTCAAAAAAGGGTGCCAGATGGAGGTACCTGAGATAAGACCAAGGAAAGATCATCCAAAAGTAAGGTATCCGGATGAAGTACATCCAAGAAACAAAGTTAACTGGGTCACACTGGAGAAAGAAAAATGAGGCCAAGATGGAAAACAGTTATGTGCCAGTTTCCCCAGTAAAGCTGATAAGGTTATGATGTAAAACCATGAAAAGAAGGGGAACAGATAAGAAAAAAAAGTTGAGTAAGTAATTAAGAGATGAAGATGAGTAGATGGAGAATGAGAGAGAAAAAGAAAAAGAGGAGACTCCTAAGCTGAAAGAACAGATTCAAATCATAGAGGCTCATGTAACAAGGTACTCCAAAATTCATCAAAAACAACTGGAGAAAGAAAATAAAAGACACATATCTGTATAGTCCAAGCAGTAAAGGATGAATGTGGGATGACCTTACTCCCATCAGGAAGAGGGAACTAGAAGCAAAAGTAGTTGTAGAAACAATATTTGTAAAACTTGTCAAAAGATGAAGCAGGCTCTGCTGAAGTAACAGATCCAGAAGGTCAGAAATCCTGGATCTGAGATCAGAATGAAACTAACCACCTGGTACATAATGATGATAATAACATTGACTCTCAGAGTGCCTCCAGTTGCCATTACAGTATTGGATGACTCTTGAGGAGTGAAAGAACTTCAGATGTCAGAAACATGAATGCGTAATGCAGATGGTTCACGAAATCATTTTTTTAAGACATAAAAACTGACCTGGTTGGTAACAGTATGTAATCACTGGCTTAATGATGACATTAAAGAGTACTTAACAAAATTGAATGCTGGGTTAAAACTAGTATTGTCAAAGAAACCTTATCATAGACAATTGGACACATGTCCCATATTACATATTTGATTAAACGAAAAAAATTAAGATAATTTAAATTTGATTTTTAATTGAAATACTAAAAATTTGGTATCTTTTTTTCTTATAACAATAAAATTGTAACAAAAGTCTAAAATAATAATTGCAAAAATTTCATTAGTTTCTAAGACAAACCATATCCGAACAAAGAAGTGCCAAAGGAAAATGAGCTTCATTCAAATTCTAGTACTCACAGGGATTGCTAAGCATGGAGGATGTGTCACCCTCCTATTGGTGAAGGCTATAGTCTAATGATGATTATATCATAGGATAGCTCAGTTAAAACATGTAGATGTGGGAGCTTTATTTTGGGCATGTGCAAAAATCTTCATGGCAGTATCATGAAGTAATAGGTGTTTGTTGTGTAGAACAGTAAGTAAACATTTCTGAAGTTTGACTTATTTTGCCAAAATAATTTTTTTAATGTTAATTATTCTTTGATTCTATTTCATAACACATACACTGATTCATGCATATAATAAAAACAACAAAATCATGAATTCATAATTAAATCTATTTTGAGAAATATCATCTTAACATTATCACAAAGATCCTAATTATTAAAAGTAAAAAAGTTTCAATTTATTTTTGACACACAAACTTCCAAGAATAACATATATCTATACCTTGAGAGCTGGCTGTGAAATATTGATAAACCTGGTGTAGGAGATGCAGTCAGTTAGTTAACTGATTCATAAGCTGAGACTTTGGAACATAAAAACAAGCAAAATCATAGAGAGCCACCTGGCCCACTGAAGTGGCTTTTTCACCAACTGAAACAAACAACCCAATCTAAACCTAGCTTTTCTGTTCACAGCACCCTTCAAATAAACCTTTATACATATTACAACAAACAGAACACACAAAGAAAAAATATAATCTTAATAATATTAAGCTCTGATTTCAAAATTCATACAGTCATCTCTAGCTCTACAATAGTAGGGTGTATTTCTATAAATATTGATTACAAGTCAAAAGAGGTTATTATCTCTCTACAGAAAACACTAGTTAAACTTCACTTGGAATAGTATGCACAGTTGTGGGTTCCTTAGCCAAAAAAGAATAATTATTTACTGAAAACGACTTAGAGGAGGGCTACTAAGATGAGTCTGGGAAAGGAAAGATCATCCCATATGGATAGGTTAGATCTCTTATTTTCTCTTGAGAAATAAAGATAAGATGTGATCTGGTTGAAGTTTACAAAATTATCTAGAGAATCCACAAGATAAAGGCCTTTGATTTCTTTGTGCTATATGCTGAATATAACAGGATGAGAATACATAAGTTTAAGTTTTAGAAAATGATAGGCTAGGCTCCAATTAATACAATTTTATTTTCATAAAAGAGTAACTGACTTATGGAATAAGTTGCTAATAGAAATAGTGTGGGCTTAAATTTTTACTTTTTGAAGGATAGGTGTGCAAGGACAGCCTTGAAGAACCAAATAGTCCTTTGTTATCTGTATGTTATGTTTAGTGCTCCACAGAAAACAAATCAGTTTTTACTATAATTCTATTTTTTTAGATTAGGTATTGACAGGTAACCCACTGCTGCACTATTTCAGGCAAGCAAATATTATTTCTGTAATAAAGAAACCAAAATTCACCAGCTTTATGCAAGATTACAATTACATTGTTAGTATTAAACTTAATATATCCATAAATAGATCCCACCGTTAGCTCTTTTCCCAACAACCAAGTATTCAGAGGAATATTTCAGGTACTTATCAATAATAATATATTTCTCTTAGACATGAAATAAGTCTATTTCAAATTTCTACGTTCCTAGCAAATTGCTTTACACACACTCCAATACTGAAATTTCATTTTCTATGTTCATGCCACTTACAAGGATTGCTGAGTTAATATTGTAAATAAAATAAATGTCTCACAGAATCAGCCTAATCCACAAACGTAGTAGCAGTAGATGTTAATCGTCAGGTTTTTATGTATGTAGGGGCTGGATTCTTTACAGTAGGTGACTGTGACTTGTTGGTGATAAATATCAAAAATAAATGGACAGCACACAATCCACTTGTTTTCAAATAATATATTCAAATCAAGTCAAACGTATGTACAAAAATTCGTTTCACTATTGGTTATCAGAGTTCTAACTAAAGCTTTAAATAATGTTTTTTTCTTGTCAAAAGTACACACAGGCTAGTTCAGTTCCTTTAGAACTCAATTGAACAGATGAATTATTTTTCTCTACTCTGTTTCTTGCTGCTCATTCTGCAATAGATTCTCTTATATTACCCTGCAGGTTACCACAGCTGTATCCAGAACTTTAAATAATTGTCTCCTTTTCATCCAGATAGGTGAGTTCAATTACTTTAGAACACCATTTGACAAGACAAATTATTCTCCTTTATTTCTGTTATTACAATACCACTGTGAAACTCACTTTAAATATTGCCTGTTACAGCTAAACAAGCTATCACATGCTCTAACTTTACTTTCACTAACTTAATGTTTTTTGACTTAACTTGATGTAACAATACTCACTTAAGGCAATGAGAAACATACAAAATGTTCAAGTAATGTGACATCAAATTACAACAATTGAACTTACCTAGTCACGTAATGAAATTTGTCATAACTATCACCTTTAAAATAATTCCTTTTAACACTCTTGTTATGACAACTAAATATTCATTAAATATTAGTTCACTAAATGAACTAAATAATAACTCTTACACTAAATAGTCTTGTATATCCAACACTAATCAGGAATGTTACAGATTATACAGTTATACATGTCATTGACATATTACAAACGAGTTATAAGACACTCTGAAGGACTCTACCAACTACATTCTCCCCCCCCCCCCAAGAAAATTCATATTTATTAATTATCAATTAAAACTTTTTATTCACTTTTTTTAACCACAAGCAAAAGAATCACACTTACTAATTAATGTGGCCCCTTAAAAAGAATTATTTGAAAGTATAGATAAACATCTACTGTATTAACACATCAATAATGCTTCAAATTAATAGAATTACTGGAAGATACATGTTCATTATAAACTTTCTGATACACAGTGTGCATTCATAAAAGTTAACATTTTCTTAAATTGAAAATGTATTTCCAATCTAATCATTGGTCTGATTTTTTCTTGCTTGCTCCACTCTTTTATACCCCATTTTATTGCCCTTGGCGATATTTGTCTCATGACACTCTCTACCTACATCAATGCACCCTCTATCCTGGTACTGTACAAAAGCACCTCATTCACATAATGTTATCATTATTTCAGAACTGATTCAATCTGCAGTCTCTAACACTGGCTCTTAGTGGGAAGGAAGAGCGGGAAAGTGTGAAAATGTTAACTTCCAAAACATAGGTACCTCTGCTCCCACCTACAGCTAGAATCCCACAATAAGAAGGTGGAGGGGCCAGTGAGGGCATCATCCATACAGAAAGCATTTGCATAGATCATGGGTATGCTCTTCACCTGAACTTAATTCCTGTATCATGGGTGGAATTATACATGAGTGATCATTACTATAGGCCAGCCCAACCAGATAGCCGGGTTTCCACTACTCAAGGTTGGAAATAATAGGACTTAGTCCCTATACCACACATTGGTGGCTAGGGCAATTGGACCACAACATTATATATAGTTATGACTAGATGTTAACCTGTAGCCAGTGATGCATTGTGAGCCACCAGAAACATGAAAAGTAAGCAACACCGAAGTAGACAAACCTTCTCCTCCACCCAAAGAAACCTGAAAGGCAACACCCCAGGCTTGGAATGACAGGAACGAGTATTCCTTACTCAAACAAAGGAAACAGAACTCATTTGGTCTGGAATTATGAACCTTCATCCTCACTCCCCAACTGTGTGGACAAGGTATATTCCATTTGTCCCTGGAATTATGGAAAGGATGTGGAACAACTGTGCTCAACCAAGGATCCAGGATGGGACCACTGGAGTTCGGAATTACAAGGAGATAATGGACCCTCTTCCATGAACAATGTACTGAATTTATACTGATCAAACATAAGGGCCATCCACACCCCAACCTGATAGTGGAGTACAAAATCTGAACTGGAATTATGAGTAGGCTCCTGCATAGGCTGATGCTACTCCTACCAACATCTGGGTAAAGTATCCAGGGACCCGGATAGGAGGGACCCCAACTGCACCCTCTTCTCCAAGAGTGGAGGAATTCACTCTAACACTCAGGAGGAAAAGCCTCTATCCACCACCCCAGCAACTGGAAACTGGGTGTGGTAAGGACACCCTAGCTCCATTAGTAGAACTGAGGGGGGGGGTGCATTGAAGAGTCCTGAGGAACAATGCTCTGGAAACAGTGTGAAAGGTGAACCAAGTTCCCTAAATTTTTAAAAGCAAACCAACCCTGATTTATTCAATCTGATGATTGGTAGAAATGGGCAGGATTCCGTTATGCTTTACTCAAGATAGCCCATGAGTGGCAGTCCAGCATAGTACCATAATACCACCTGGTCAGCTCCAAGGTGGTCGTTTGGAACACCTCATTTCTATAGAGCCTCTTGCAACTGGTATAAAGTATATTAAAATAGTGGTTGCTAGTGTAGAATTGGTTTTATAAAAACACACCTGCCTGGGCAACACTCGCCACAAAGTGGGATCCTATGAAAACAAGGTAAGGTACTCTGAAAGGTAAAGAAGAGGCAAGCATAGCAATGAAAATACTCACCCCTCTGTATAATCTAGCAGAAGCTACAGGGGGCAGATGAAGATACTGACAGATCATGCAAATAATGTGAGATAAAAGTGTTGGGTGAGGTCCACATACCAGCCAAGGCAATGTCTTCCAGTGGGCAATTCAATTGGGCTGCTAAGGATATAGAAATGTGATTAATCTGATTAGACATGACTCACGTAAGATTCCTTGCCTTCAACGAGAGCCAAGAATAAGCAATATGGAACAATTTTGTAGCCTTCTTGTCAATGTAACTGAGGATGAATCCTGGGAAACTGAATAATCCCTATGAATAAAAAGTCATTATCAGCCACTCTAAAAGCATTAGTATGGGCAACAAAACCTTCAAGACTTTCATTGGGCAGAACAAACAATCGAAACCTGATCAGCCATAGAAATGAGAAATAGTGATCAGATGAATCTGTGAAAAGGATTTATCCACTTCTATCGGTAGATTAGCAGCCACAAAAAATAAACCTTCAAGTAAATGTGATACATGACATATGATGCTTAGGTCACAAATGGGTGTTAAGAAAGGGTATATAATGTAACCTTAATTTACCAGTTAGTTAACTGGAATGTATGTTTGTGATAAAGGACCCAAAGCAACTTGAGAAATCTGGAGTGTACTGAAGACCCAAAGAAGTTTTGTCTTGAGTATCGAATGGTAGTCAATAAGGTCATTGTAAACAGGAGGATTGTGAAAGATGCACAACTTCTGCCAAAGAGTCATTGCCAAAATGTGTGCCATTTCCATTAAAAAATGTCCATCGTGGGACTAAGCAATGACTGTCAGATCATGGTTGCCTCCACAGAGATGGCCAAAAAAGAAGTGGAAGAGGTGGGCACTCCCTAAGGGCACTCCAGAAGCAGAAACCAGGGTGTAGCTGCTTAAAAACAGCCCTGCTAAAAAGACAACAGATCTACAGCAAGTGAACGTCATTTACGAGTA